TGGATTCAAAAAAAAAAAAAAAAAAAAAAAAAAAAACAAAAAAAAAAAAAGACTATTCGGACTCGCCGATTCCGCACAGTGAATCGGCGAGTCACTATAGAGAATCGTACAGTTCTCTCTAGAACCGGACGATTTCCGATTTTTTAGCCGATACAATCCACTTTTTGCGATTTTCGAGTCGAACCGGACGAATCCGATTCGACTCGGCGTTTTTTAAAACACTGGTTTAGAGTAAATATAGCCACATCTAATAGTCATAAAAGAATTTTATATTTATATTTTTATATTTTATTTTTATTTTTATTGAAAATAATATTTATTTGAAATTTTTCACATATTTTTATGACACCAAGCAAAAATAATAAAAATAAATTTGAACAAACCAAAATACCCTTAAGTTGTTTCATGGGTATTTGGTTAATTTTTTTTGGTTCAAAATATATTTGATTATTTTTTATTCATCATATAAAAATGTGTATGTACTTCAAATTTCAGATTATTATTATTTTAAATAACAATAAAAAATAAAATACGATTTTTTGGATCATCAAATGACACTAGAATCAACCTGAACCGTTAAGGATGATGTGGATGCTATACCATCCCTTCCTCTAAATGGCACACCAAAAACTAATTGCTACGCAAGCAAATGCTTTGCTCACAAAACACAAATCGTGCATACCACTTCTCGTACTCACAAACAATACATGATTAAAGCAGAATATTGCCCATGTTTCAAGCACATCCCTTGATTTGTTTGCCCTTTTTAGTGGCTTTGAAGTGTTTCTAATTTATGTTGTGAATCTTTGTATTCATCCAATTTTGCGAAATTACAACTCTCTTTTGTTTAGATTAACTGGTGCAATTCATGGACTGGTATAAGTTCTTTTTTTTTTGTGTGACAGAGGACTGGTATAAGTTCTCTCAAGCGATATTTGTGACAGGAAATAAGAACAGGTCATATGCACGAAGATCCAATTAAGCTTACTAAACAGGGAAAGAGGGGAACCATTTAAGGCAGCCCTAGAATTCAAATTTGAAATTAAGCAAGAATTGCTTGTCCGCATAACCATTGGAATCACCATGAATACCACAACAGTAACAAAAAGATGCAATGTGAGAGCAATGAATTTTGTTAGTACTTAGGGTGTGAGGATTAAGAGCACAACGTAGGTTCAGTTCCCATCTTGGTTTTTTATACGTTACTGTTGTCCCTTAGTGGAAGCTTGTAGCCATGCTTGCACTTTATTAGAGAAAAAGCTCTCTAGCCTGCATATCAATGAGACCCAAAGTCAGAATGAAATTTAAAACAAGGCAAGAGAGAACAGAAACTAGTTTGTCATCTTTGACCTGTTTGCTAATTTATAGTAGATGGTATCAGGAGAATTGTAAGTGCGAGCATTTGCAAACATTCTCTTAACATCTGCTACAAACATTTCGAATGTCACATAGTACTGCTCAGACTCCAGCCTCTTTGACATTGTTCTTAGATCTGTCAAACAATATTTCAATAAATTTAACATGGGAGAGATACACCAGGAACAACTGAGCTTCATGATTTGATATTACTGGTACAAAACTAAAAACAGTATTAAGTGACTTACTACCTTCATGCTTTGATCTTAAGAAATGACTCAAATTCCCTTTGAGATCTTTGCAATCAAATGAATCAAGTTTCATTTGATAATAAATGAAAAACCAAGTAGTGGATTATAATCATGGTAAACATTTGAACTCCATAACCGACCTATTGACATTTCCTTTTGTGTATGTGTAATGTACGTAGTAGTCAGTGTAAGTAGTAGTCAGTAATTAATTACATTGCTTCAAAAGAAATTAAAAGTACTCCTTTCATATCTTTTTTGCAATGCCTGCATAGAATCAGAGGCATCAAATTATATGTAAACTCTTCATCTAAGTTGAAGATGCGCATTAATAGGAATCTAATGCAGAACTTCTCACCCATAGGATCCTTAATGACGTCATAATAATCAGGCACATCGCGCGCATCAACTGGTTCCTTGAACGGCCAAGCATCCGCATGTTCGCTCAAAACCTGTTCACAAAGAAACACACAAAAGTGACACACTACCCATGTCCACTATAAAATATTATGCAAAGACTATATTTTGTATTTAATGCTATCCTTGTGCAGGGGCCATGCCAATCTTCTCTTCTCATTCCAATTTATTTGGATGTCTCAAAAGAGACAAAAAAGGCATTCAATACATGAACTTCCCAAGAGGTCACCATCCTAATACTAATCTTGCTGAAGCACGCTTAACTTCAATGCTCTGATGGGGACTTCTTACTCTTTTCTTTGCTCTCTTTTTGGTTTAAGAAAAGTCAAATGGGGGACTTCTTCCACATCGACAAGAATATCCTCAGGTATTAACAACAGTGGCATTTCATGTGCACATACAATAAAAAATGCCCTTACAATGCAAATGACCGTGTTAAAAGGGGTAAGGTGTTTCTAGAAAAAGATACTTGCCTTGTGAAGTGAGCGCATGAAGGAATTAAGTTGTTGGCGATGGTTTGGAATCTCAGCTGGGGAAAACGCCCGAAACCGAGTATGGCCCCATTGGTCCGGTGTCCAACCCGCCTCTCCTATTAATCCAAGCAACCTCCAATTTTAACTGAGCTATTAAGAAGACATGCATTACAAAAGATCCAGGATATAAATATATGAGGAAGTGGGATGTCCTAAGATCCAATTTGAAGCACATGTAATTTCAGATTATCTCAAACCTAGGTCGCGAATACCAATCCCACATGCTGACAGATCGAAAACACTTCATGTTTTCCACTGAACTTTTATGGCCTAATGATTTGTTTACAAAATGATGTAATTCAATTAATTTTATTTCAAGATATTTGAGAGTTTTAAAGCAACAAAGCATGGTTTTAAAAAACTCCAGAAACCTAAAGCATCAAGGCATGATGATCACCCAGCTCCATTGGCACTCTAAAGTTGCTATAGGTGTGCTTGTGTATTGACTAATCTTTAGAAATTGGTACTCATCAAAACATAAAAATTTTTGGGGGTAAGTTACCAGAAAAAAAATCTTAAAATATGGCAAAAGAAAAAACCAATTTTTATCTGAATATTGCCTAATAAGGTTTGCTTTCATTTCTTGATAACTATGCCAAACCATTTCTCCAATCAATCTACCATAGAAGTTTCCAAGAGTCAATCAAGATTTCACAATATTCAAGAATTGTAATATCAAAGCTTTGAGGAAGAGAAAACATTTCTCACTCAAGCCAGGAATGTCCTCCACTTTTTTTCTTGAGATACCAGCTTCTTTCTAGAAAGAAATGAAACTAGGTTAGCAACAGTGGAGAGTAATTTAAAAGGCAATATCATTGAAATGCAATGTAGCATTTAATGATCAAGCAATATTTGAAACTTAAAGAAATAAATAATTATTATAAAAAATAGACAATTATTTACATATTACAAATGCAGGGCATTGAAACAGGGATGCAATCAATTTGCTAGACAAAATCTAGCATTTATATTGAGTCAACCAAAATGTAAACTTTCACATATTACAAATGCAAGCCTAGCCAAGCAATTCGCTAGACCAAGCTAGAATTTGAAAGTATAAGAGTAGTTTTTTACTGCTCAGTTGTATGAGTCATTGCTTTGTATACTTCACAGGCGTTGTGAAGAATATTAATTTTGTAAAAAAGGATAACTACTAATTATTAAAAGAAAATTGCAAGGCAGCAACAAGTGTAATCCTATGGCATGCTAAGAATAGTTGAACAAGTGGAGTAAGGATACAAAACTTACACAGTTCAAAAATCCAGAAACTATCACCACAGAAACCTAAAATCTCATGCTTTGCAAGTAGCTAATATAATTGTTGAGTCATGTAGAGTACAATATGCGCATGCATGAATGGCCCACGGTATTATGGTTTTACTGTAATATAGCAGTGTCACACAAATGTTTAAAAAAGAAAGGTAAAATTCGCATTTGGTGCATTTGGATGATGGCCCTTGCGCTGTCAAAATGGACTGTACATTTCCCTTTTCGATCTGCTTAGAATTTTGGTCAAACCTAATTCTCAAATCCAATCCAACTGCATTGCGTACTCTCTATATTTTGTTCCAGGAATAGGGTCAGGGCCAGTCTTTGCTGGTAAACATGCCCTAAATGGCTATATCACAAATGGACAATATTCTGTAGGCAAGACTTAATTTCATAGCAACAGTGAAACCCAAAAAATAAAGCCTTCATACCTTCTGAAAATCAATTCCAGGATAGATAATATGGCAGTTTGAGAGTTCCCTGATTTTCTCATCAATTGCCTATCAATAATATAATAAAGAATGCTGTCAGCATGTACTGCACGTAAAACAGATTTCACCATCAAACACAAGTCAATTAAAGATAAACTGAAACAAGGGTTTAAATCCCTCAAAGAAATCCATAACACGAAGATTGAGTTTCTATCATTAAACGCTGTCAGAATGTACTGCATGTAAAACCGGTTTCACCACCAAACACAAGTCAATTAAAGATAGAGTCAAACAAGGGTTTAAATCCCTCGAAGAAATCCATAACATGAAAAAGAATGAGTTTCTATCATTAAACAATAGAAAGCCAGAATCCATCAACAAATATAGGATCAGCACCCCAATCCTTAAAGTTAAAGCCATGTATCTAATGTGGCGGGCAGCAGGGATTTGGGCCGCCATCTAGGCTGTTGGATTTCTTAAGATCCAATGGTTCACATCGAACTTGTAACTACAAGTGTTGGATGTAGGAGAGGGATGGTGGCATGCCAACCTTGAAGGCTACTGCATTGGATGGGTTCTCAACAGTGTGATGGTGGAGATCTTGGATTGATGGTGACGATAGATCCTCATATGAGGGTGGGGCATATGGTTGATTAGGAGGTTTCTTGGCCCCATCTGGAGTTCTGGACCCTTGGATTGCTCAGGATCCAATTGCTCATATTGGAAATGTGACAGCTTATGATGGGGTAGGGGAAGGAAGTAACTAGAGCATCCATGTATGATAGGCTTTCAATAGTCAGATGTTGAAGTCCATGTATGATGGGCTCTCAATAGTTGGATGTTGAGAGACATGGATTAACAAATGAGTTGGATCCTGAAATGCCAGGAGGGTAGCATGGTGGAATCTGAGCCCTCCATGTGGCATAAAATGGTTGACGTGTCATGAGACAGGCTAGTGGTTTTTTGTGGAGAGAGGGACTGAGGATATGGCCACATCAGGGCTGTCCATGTCTTTGTTGCAGGTCCTGAGCCCTGTCATCTGGCCAATTTTGAACGGTAACGGGCTGGGTTGAATTAGGAATTGAAATAGGATTCTGAAACCGGTTTGGAATTTCATGCGTTGAATTTGAATTTGTATTGGGCGAGGCAAGAAAGTTGAATTTGGAATACTTGAAACTGAATACTAGTTTGGCAGTACGAAGAGGGAGCCAAAAGAGATGAACAGTCACAACAGAAATATATCCTCTACCCCTTCAGTTAGGACAATATATACTAATGGATTGCTCGGTTCAAATGCAAATGAATATTAGAACTTCATAGGAAAGGATAATATGGTCATTCAGAACCTATAGAATCATGAGTAAATCATGCACATGTAGATTTGCAAAAAATGGATTTCCATGCCAAACTAGTCAACCTTGGGTTTTCCATCCTACGCTATAGTCCTGGATTAAATAAACACTTGCCTTTTTTTTTGAAACTGTAAACTGTTCTATTAGTAAAGGCAAGGGAGTTATAAGATGACAAAAAATGGGCTACCCACAAGCCGGGAGCACCATATACCAAAAACTAGGCAACCCACCTAATAGGAGCCCTATACAACAAATAAGGCTAACCTGAAAAGGTTGCCCTATACAAAGAACCAGTAAAGTTTGAAACAAGTAAGACATAAACAGAGAGATACAAAAGTCTTCTCATGGCTGAGTATTCCAAAAAATCAACTGTTGTAGGTTCCATCTTTAGCGAGGTTGTCCACCTCGGCGTTGGATTCCCGCCAGGTATCCTCCATAAGATGACGATATCCCTGCAATTATGAGTGATTTCATCAAACCTAAGCGAGAGACCAGGGGCAAGGAGAGGAACCTGAGGCCCAAGTAATAAAATTCTTAGCGTCTCCCTCTATAATCAAAGGCCGGCTCCAAAGCGGATTGAAGAGTTTGAGGCCTTGCATGAGGGCCAAGGACTCGGTTGACCGGCTGCTTTTTATTTAAGTCGAGTGTTTATTTAAACACTTGACCCTACTTCTTTACTCAATACAATAGTTAACACTTTCAAAAAATAAATAAATAGACACTTGATGCTTACATAGAATTTGATATTCAAAATAGTGCCACACTTAAAATAGGTAAGCATATCACAGGCCATACCCATGGCCAAGGAAAACCATTGCTTGATAAATAGCATAAATTCAATCCACTCAACCTCCATGACTATTTAGCCCAAGGGAACTAGTGAGGTTCGCTACTACCTGCCTTTGCTGACGAATCATAGCTGATAAATCGGTGTATGGAAGCTTTGGATCAATTTTGCATTCCATGAGTATTCCTCCGTCATAATCTTTAATGTACCTAACCAAAAGATGTACTGATTCGATTCAAACAAATCATACACCAAAACATGCATGGATTCTCCCAAAACATAGCATTATTACAGAACATCTAAGAAGGAAGAAAGAAAGAAGACGAAGAAAGTAAACATTCTTCCTTCTAAACCCAATATTCCATCCAACCATTGTCTATCTCACAAGAATTTCCTCATATTCAGATGAGAGAAAAGATTTCAATAAACTTTCCATTTAAGGAGTGCTCCAACTTGATCAACTGGCTCTTCTTTAATAGAAAACAGAATAAAACTAGATATGATCACTTCAGATGGGCATGAATGCAACTAGCTCCATGATGTAATAAAGGCCCTCCACTCACAAAACATAAGGGTAGAAGATAAATGGAGAAAAGTGTTTGTACAAATATTAAACAATAAACCAGTGCATACCCTTGCCATCGTTCTCTCTCCAACTCAATCTCCTTGGAAAAACCCTATCATAAAAAAAAATGCAAATATTTGATAATGACGTTGGAAAAACAAAATGGTGGCTTCATATATAAAACCAAATTCAAGCCCTATCACAGCAAAATTGAATAGTATTCATATTGAATATGAAGCCAAAGACTACACAAGCAGTAACTGTATTGAACAATTATTAAAATCAACATATAATCCATTTCCCAAAAGAATTTCCCAATCATATGAAGAAAACCACACTATGGATGTAAATCCCAGCCAAGGAATTCATTAATTTATTTAATTAAATGGTGATCAGCAACAAAATTAAGCTTTATATGACAATGAAAAACTTAAAAAATCAAAAGTCATTTCAATTGTTCCCCACTCCCTAACTACTGATCTGCCATCAAAGACTGAAACAAACATGAACATGGCAAAATTGGTAGAAGCCGACAATAGCTGTTGGAAAGAGAGGGTGCATGTCTTATTCTATCAAATTTACACGTAACTTTCCCTTTAGTTCAATCAAATTGTGCAGCACAAGAAAGAGCACTAAAACAAGCACGAGAAACATAAAAGCTAGACACGTGGTTTTTCTGAAATTCATCTCATCTGTATGAAGGGTAATCAAAATGCTCCACAAATGAACAAGGAAATGCAAATACAACAACAGAAACACATACCAATAGAGGCAAGGCTCACTAATTGTTCACCTGCTTGATAAAATATCCAACAGCATTATTATCGGCATAAGTTAGAAAATGTGTGAGCCCATCAACATCACGTGCATGTTGCTTTAAGTGATTCATCAGTCTTGTGCCATAGCCTTTGACTTGCTCATCCGTTGCAATAGCACAAAATGCTATCTCTCCAAACTTTTGGCTGTAAAATCAATAATCCAGGTTGTCTCATAATAATACGCACAGGAAAGCAATGTCAATCAGGAAGTAAGAACAAATCAAAGACGACCAAGACCAAGACCAAAGATAGTTCTGTCAATAATCCCTCACCCTCTCCATGTCGTTAGCTTGGTTTAAGGGCATGAACTGAGAGAACGAGTTTTGGACAGGAGAAACTATATTTGACTTTCAACAGAACCCAACTGAATACATGCGTGTGTGTGTAGTGCCAATTAGCAAATATTTTGCCCTTCATGGGTAGTAATTTAGCAAGAGAAAGGAAGATTACAAATAGAAAAATCACAGGAAGCATGAGTTTGAAGTGACTATAATCACCCCATAACACAATGGTTGCTTAAGCATTCCTGTTATAGCATCATGCCTTGCACATAAGGTTATGGACACACGAAAAGACTACTGGCCTTACTTTTTTTGAAAGAGGTTAACAACTGCTGGCCATACTTGAGTCCACTTTTTGTTCTTTTGTAAATGAAATATGCTGACAGAAAAGTTAGGTTTCCCATCTATTGCACAAATACACATGAGGATATTTTTGTCTTTTTCTATATCATGCATGTGTGCATATGGGTTTTTGCTCCCACATTTCAAATATGAGAGAGATATTTAATATCATACTCAAGACACATAATTGGTAAAAGAACAATCCTTATGACACTTGGCCTTGAGCAATCTGAAAACATGACTAAGTCAATCGACGTTACTGGCATCCATTTACGACTTCTTATAATGTATCTCCGTGTCAAAAGTAACCTATTTCGCATCTCAGCATAGGTGACTCTACTCTTTACCATCTCATTAAGTTTTCTTGATGGTACAATTTTCAATTAGTTCCCAATACATCTAAAACAAATGCAAAACAACAGCTTGTGGAAAGAAATTTTAACATTTAATTCCCAAAAAAGACACAGCGAAATGTATATATGTCATAACTTACCCAACATATGGCCGGTAAGTTATACCACCAACAACCTGATTATTCTTGATAATCATCACAGACTTGTGACTCCTGCAATATACGATCAACAAAAAAATCTTATAATTAATCAAAGGAACTGCCACGGTGATCAGAATAGGATTCTCAACCTTCCCAAATAAATACTCATATCATGTGCAGCATGTCACTACTAGTATACGCATCTGAAACTACCATAATAAGATAAGGGGTTCTGCATGGTGATATTGGATGATACAAGTACAAAAAGAATGCACGTCATGTCCACTGGCCATACTCAACACCAGGTCATGGAGATCAAAAGCATTTTATGATTGACTGGAAGAAATGTTAATCTCACCTTCTTTTGCTAACTATGGACAGTGATATATATCATATTGTTGATAATATACTCGTCTCATGTGATGCTTTCCATTTGAAAAAATAGAAATGTGATAAAAAAAATTTGATCAAAGCCATATATAATATAGAATCTAACACTAGAATAAGCATGTAATGGATTGTCACATGTGAAAGACCCGCTGGTTGCAGATTCATATTTCAAGCCTCAGAGAATTGCTAATTTACATGTTGTTACATCGACAAATTACATCATGCATGTTACCTGTCCATGACAAGACGAACTATGTACTCCTTGGGCATATTTGGTAGCTGCCTAGCAAAGATATTCTTCAAACCAATCAACCTAGTGCACCAAAAAAAAGGAGGAATATGTAAACTAGTGAATCCCTTCACCATTCTCATGGTACACTACACTAGTACAGAATCAGATTTAGACTAATATGAAATGTTAATTATTTTTTAGGAGTTATTAAGTAATAAACTGTATAAAAATTGACAAAACGAAAACAATAAAACATGGTTTAATTAGCAATTGGAGGGCGAGTCTCACAAAATGTTCCATACTACATAAGGGTTGTAAATAGAAAGGAAACTTTATGTTCATCCTGTTTGTCACTATGTAAGTCACACTGCAATGCTTAATATACTCTTAAGCATGAAAAAATGAGTGTGCAAACTTATATACTCTTCAACCATATTATAAAAAAGGAAGCTTCCTGGAACTTCAGAAAAAAAACAACATGAAAAGGAATGAATACCAAATCATATGTTCATCAACCCCATCATTGGCAAAGCATACAAATTTGAGTCTACCTGCATCCTCCTAAAAACACAGTGAATTGTCAGTATATTTTTATTCCCAAGAGACCAGCATAGATTTTGAGAAAAAAGAAACATCAGTTACAGTCTGCATAAATAAATTGCAATAATGAACATGTGAAAACAAATTACTCACACACAAAACCACTTCAAAATAGAAATTAACAATTCAGACAACTAATAAAGGTGGACAATAAGGCCCCATTTGATAATCGCTTTTTTCCCTGTGTGCTAAAAATGATTATTCTTGCACCTGAGTTGGGAGTGTCTGATTGGCACACCACTATTCATGGTATGACTTGAGGAATAATATATGCTTATTGGCCTAAGGAATAAAATAAAATAAAAAATGAACTCTTTCATCACTACCAACCAAAACTTGGGTATCATTCCACTTGATTGTGACAGTTGAAAAGTGCCAACTTTCACGATTGTCTATAAAATCAACTAAAAATAAGCCATGGATATGGCTATCAGGACATACAGATGGGGTCTGAACCTAAGCAAGCTATCTTTATAAAACTGAAGGTCTGACATATGATACATCTCATATCAAACATGCCACACAAACCAATTCAAATGCGAATAAAGGCAGTACTTTTCTTGATAGCAACCCATTTCAACTTAAACGCCCCAATGGTTGCTGATGTTACATTCTCAACAATCTCAACCTTCAAAGGAGTACCCATCCTCTTTTGTAATATATGTACAGAAAATTCATCAGTTGCCAAGGTGATCAAGCACCCAAAGATTGTCCACTATCATCATCATCATAGCCTTTTCCCAATTAATTGGGGTCGGCTACACGAATCCTGATCCGTCATTCTGCTCTATTAAAGGCCATACTTTCAGTGAGCTCATAAGTCGTCATATCTTTTCGGATTACTTCCAACCACGTCCTTTTGGGCCTACCCCTTGCCATTTTCAATCCTTCTACTTGAACTCACTCGCACCTCCTAACATGTGTTGTACTAAGTCAATGCCAAACATGGCCAGCCCACGTAAGTCTACTCTCTTTCATCTTATCGTCTATTGGTGTCACACCTAAACTTTCCCGAATGGATTCATTTCGGATTTTATCCCTTCTTATCTTGTCACTCATTCATCTCAACATCCTCATCGCCGCTACACTCACTCTATGGGTATATTGTTTTTTGTCTACTCAATATTCTACGCTATAAAGCAAAACTGGTCTCACATCTGTCCTATAGAACTTGCCCTTCAGCTTCATTGGTAGGAGACGATCACATAAAACTCCAGTTGCACATCTCCACTTCGCCCACCCAGCTTTAATTCTGTGTGTGACGTCTTCCTCAATCTCTCCATTTTCCTGGATTATCAACTCAAGATATCGAAAGTGAAGTTTTTTTTATACTTCCTGACCATCAATCTTAACTACTTCCTCGTATCTAATCCTATTATTATTAAACTTGCATTCCAAATACTCTGTCTTAATCCAGTTAATTTTAGAACCTTTAGATTCTAGAGCATCCCTCCAAAGTTCTAACTTTGTGTTGACACCGTTTCGGGTCTCATTGATCAAAACTATGTCATCTGCGAACAAAATGCACCACGGTACCTCATCCTGTAGGTGCCTAGTTAAGTCTTCCAGAACTAAAACAAAGAGATACGGACTCAATGTTGACCCTTGATGTAGACCGATGTTTATTGAAAACTCACTTGTCTCTCTACTAGTTGTTCATACACTAGTTAGCGCTCTATCGTACATATCTCTCACCAAGTCGATGTAGTGTCTGAAGGCTCCTTTTTTTTCCAACACCCTCCAAATCAAATCTCAAGGTACTCTATCATAAGCTTTGTCTAGGTCAATAAAGACCATGTGGGGGACTTTTACCTTCACCCTAAACTTATCAATTAGTTTATTAAGTAGGAAAATAGCCTTGGTTGTTGATCATTTTGGCATAAAACCAAATTGGTTTTCATATCCTCACACTTAATGCATTTAAGATAGTTTAGATCCCTACACTTTTTCTCTCTTATCTTTGCTGATTTGCAGACATCTTTTTCACCTTCTCTTGTTCCCAGTTTATTTTATAGATTCTTATATGCCTTAAGTTTTTAGCTTTAATTATTATTTCTTTAGCGTTTTTCTAAGCATTTTTATATTCTTCTTAGTTCTGATCATTTCTATTACACTGTCAAGTTTGATAACAAGATGATGATGAGAAAACATGAAAATATAAAAACCTAAAGTTAGTCACTCCCACCAAGAAAAATGTAATATGATACTATAGATTTCAAAAAACGCATAGTCCTCAGGTCTACCATTATCCACTAAAAGATGAACCGTGAAGGAGAGACAGGAGACCAAATATTGAGATCACGTCTTGTTTTGGTTGGTTCCAGTACCCCCCCCCATAATTTCAATGGAGAGTGATAGCCCCAAGGAGTACGGTTCTTACATTGTGCTCGGAATTACAACAAACTTTCCCTTCCCAACAACAAAGCTTGGCTCAATAGCAAAAGGATATGTGTCCATTTTCAGAATTATACACAATGTTGTTACTGTGTTGACCAAAAATACTACCATGTTCCATTGACACCTAGAACCAATCTTTTTATGTTTTTCTTTTATTTTCTCTCTACAACTGTCTTTCTGAAAATCTTGAGGAGAGTTTTGTTGGTCGACTCTGCCTGTCCATTTGTCTGGGCCGGTATGAAGTTGACCGGTCGTGAACGATCCTGAACTTTCTAAACAAAGCGCGCACATGCTTATTAACAAACTGGGTCCCATTGTCCGAAATAATCCGTTGAGGGACCCCAAACCTTGCAATTAGATTTTCCATGATCAAGCTTACGACCCCTTGACCCGTGGCCCACTTAAGGGAACTGCCTCGATCCATTTTAAAAAAGATGCAGTGGCTGTGAGGATCCAAATGTGATTTCTTGACGAATGAGGACTGATAACTCCAATTTGGTCGCTATGATTAAGTGAACAGTTCCAAAAACAATGTGAATCATTCCACAAATTAAGTTTGCTTCTTTTTTTAAATTTGGCATAAAGACAATGGAAGTCTAGGAAGATAATTGCAAGAGCTTTTCCAACCATAAAAAACAAACTAATAGATGTGCACAACATAACTAAGAACAAACAAACTCCTTTAAAATTCCTCAATTCAATCAATGGTCTAATGAGATGCCGCATAAGCAAAAGCGAGATGCCGATTTTTAGAACAAAGTATCCTAAACACAAAAAGTTACAACTTAGATATATCAGCAACAAGGACGACAAGTTTACAATGTGATAAAAGTGTTAGGACGCATTATTATACAAAAGATTTGAACACATAAAATATGGCAAGTCTTCCTTTTATTTTATATTTAGGGGTTGTTCATCAGTAGGATTGAAACTTGGCATGAAATACAGGAAGCACATAAATCGAAGTTACCTTCATCAAAATTATCATGAAGGTTATTTGTTGAATAGCTAGACTAACTTTATGCATACACAATTGAGCAGATGCCATATAGCAAAAAACAAATAAGAAAAAAAATAAGCAATCAACAAGACAACAAAGAAAGTAGGAGAAGAAGAAGAAAGTGATGATGATGATGATGAATAAGAGATCTACTGAACCAAATCACTCATATACTTCACTAATTCAGTGAAGCAAGACAATAAAATAATACAACATTTTTTAGTTTTGACAATTATAGAACAACAAAATAAAATAGCACAGCACATTTCCATAGAGTAATGCAACAATATGAGCCATCATGGAACAACAAGAGATTTTCATTTGCATAATTGCATTTGTAGTTTTGTACAACTGCAGGGTCCATCACTCTGTACATGGAATCAGGTAATTTTCCTATTACTCATTACCTCAAACCCAAAGAGAGGAAAAATAAATAAATAATAGAAAAATAGCATATATAGCTAGGTACCTCAATTTGCTCATTTCAAAAGTTTTTCCTGGAAAACAGAGTTAGAGTCCATGACACACACACAGGGAGAGAGAGCGAGAGAGACAATCTAAACAAACAAGCAAAATGAAACCCACCTCTTTTTTGAGGCTATCCTCTCTTGCACAGTAAGCCCCACTGGTTTGGATATTATCAGTGAAAACTGACTTCACAGAATCATCCTTCACAGCCAAACCTGACCCCGCCACCTGGTTTGAACCCCTATCTTTCTCTCTTTCCTCTTTCACCCCCAACTCTGAAACCTTCTCAATTCCTGAAGAACCCACCTCCCCTTTAGGCTTCGAACTCAACCTCGCATTTGTGAAAGTCCTCATGGAATCATCATCCTCTTCATCATCTTCCATCTCCTCCTCTTCTTCCTCTGAATTCTCCTCCTCCTCTTCCTCTGAATTCTCCTCCTCCTCTTCCGATCGATCCTCCGAGTTAGAGAGAGACACAGGGTCAGAGTCTGCGCGAGCAGAGAGGGAGTCGAGGTCATCATTAGAGAGAGAAAGTGGGTGGGACGGGGGGTGGGGGTGAGGAGGAGGGAGGTGGTGAGGCGAAGAAGGGAGCTTACGTTTGTTAGGATTGGGGTGTGTAGTGGTGGAAGTCGTGAGGGGATGGGCGGAGGTTGCGGAGACGGAGGCGGAGGCCGAGTGGGAGGGGGAGGGGGATTGGGAGGTGGCTCTAGATCGAGAAAGAACGCCTCCTCCACCACCAGATTGGCCTGAGTGCACATCCATCGTGAGGGCTCTCTCTCTCTCTCTCTCAAATAAACCAACTGGCCATTTTTCAAGAAAACCAAACTTTCACCCCGTTCTGAGCAGAGCCTCTCTCTCCCTCTCTCTCGGTCTCCCTTTCTAGACTCCTGACTTGGGAATGTAGAGCGGAGGAAACAAGCTATGAATTATGCTCCGGGTCCGCGCTCTCTGGACTATGCTCCCGCCGGAGCAAATTTTGCATTCACCTACTTGGGCGCCCAAATGGCATATTTATAAGGATTTCTTTTGGGAAATTTTTTTTTTAGTAAATAAATAAGGGAGAAGGCCTTCTACCCATTTTTAATTAATAAATAATAAAAAAAATACACCGTACTATTTTACAACTTTAAAATAGGATAATTGCATCACATCATAAGTAGAAGAATGTTAAGAAAATCTGGAAGCTCGAGCACCAAATGCTACCCTCGATCTTTTTAGCAACAACATCGGCCACCTATGGTATGAAGAACCCAAGGAGCTTTACACCTGCCTTGAATTACATGGACAAGTAAAGAATAATCGCACTCAATTTGTAAGGACAATCAGCTCATTTGAAAGGCTAAATCAACATCCTCTTATAAGTCTCGAAATTCAGCATAATTATTGAAAGCAATTCCAAGAGGAACCGAAAAAGCAACAACAAATGACCCATCGTCCCGTCTGATGAAGCCTCCACAACTAGCTCGACCTGGATTTTGAATAGAAGACCCATTAATATTTAACTTAAAATGATATGACTGTGGAAAAGCTCATGCCACTGTTATGGGTAGCTTGCTCCTTTACTGCCTCCATGTAAGACGTAAGTTCTTAGTCTTTTCTGATATATGGGAAGTCTATGTCTTAGCATCTGCCACATCACGAATATAACATATTTGAGAAAAGGTTTATATAAAGTTGCAACCTTATACTCTTACAGTAAGATGAATCTTAAAAATCCTATAGTAGAGAGTATTTGAGAACCTTACAACCGATCATTTTGACCTTGAGATGAATAGACATGAAGAAAAAAAAAAAATTTTCTTCTTAAAAGCGGAAAAGAGAAACCTGGAGAGAGAAAAAGTAAGGGTTTTAGAAGCTTAGGGCATGGTGATGCTGAATATTAGGGATTGATATGGAAAAGGCAAACAATTTAAGTGTAGACGTTAAAGAGAGCAATGGGAGAGAAACCCTAACAAGAAATTCTAGAGAGACAAACATTGACGGGAGAGATGGAGGAGAGTTGAGAGAGGCTAGCGCAATAGATTGGAGGAGAACGTTGGTGGGGAATGATTTCGACTCTTCTCAGGGTGCATGTCGGCCAATGGTTTTTCCTCGCCAGTGGTGGTTGTCGATCGGGATAGCTGGAACCAATTGGAAATTCATTATGAGTTTTTTGTGTGTGGTTCCTTTTTGCCCCCCATTTCTGATCTTTTCGCCATTTCTGATCCTTTCGGGCTTTCTGACTGGGCCCAAAGAGGGTGGAGTTTATCTTACAATCCTGATGTTAAAACGATTGGTACAAACAAAATAGTTTTTAAGCTTCGGTCCAAGGAGGAGGTGAGGAAAGCTTTGTCCAACAGATTTTGTCGTGTTCGTGGTAGTCTTCTCTCGTTAGATCTATGGAAGCCTTATGATCATTCTTCTTTTATTCCTGTGGATTCGATCTGGTTGAGGTTGTGGGGCCTCCTACTTTCTGGTTGGAACTTGACCATTATTAAAAAAGTGGTTGGTCAAGTTGGAGTTTATTTGGATTTAGATTGAGACTCTTTTTTGAGTCCGATATGCAATTATGTGAGAGTTAAGATTGGTAGGTGCTCTGGTTTTCTTCTCCCAAGTACCGTTCTCTTATGCTTAAGTGAGAGCTTCTTTGAAATCTCTATTATGGATGATTCTGACCGCAGACCCTTACATCTCTTTGTGAAGGAGTCAACGAATGATGCATTTCAGCAAGGCTCGAATCTCTACGTGGATATGGGGAAGAGATTGGCAGGAAAACATCCCTTTGGAAACCTGAAAAACATTCATCGGGGGAGGAATGAGAGGCGCAATTTTAGGAATTCGAAATTCAAAAAACCAGAAATGCCTAAGATTATTAAACGGTAGACTGCTATCGGCAGGTTCCCGGATTCTTTGGGAGGTTTTGCGGATGGGTTGAAGTTGGTTGCGCCAAGTGTGCCGTCGGTTTCTTTGGGTGTGCCCGCCAATCCTTGGCACGACCGGTCTCTGCAAGTCCACACTCCTGTGTGTACTTCGGTAGGTACTCCCTCGGCTGATAAGCTTCAAAGTTAGATAAGTTGGCAGGGGCGGTGGGTTTGAGTTCCAATATAGAATTGCTTGCTACTGACATCGAAGTCAAATCTTTATCTTTCGTTGTGGCAGAGGCTCCATTTGGGAAATTGCTTTCTGAAGGGTTGTACTCTTCTTCTTCCTTTTGGAAGTTGCCCAAACTTAAAAGGGAAGTTCTTTCCACTGTGTTGATTTTATTCCCTTTGTGTTGTGGTAACCATTGATGATGATAAAGGTGCCTTCAAACCTATACCCCTTGCTGTTGATACCTCTGATTCAGTTATGGAGGCTTTGTCACTGGACTTAGTGGCTTTCGCGAGTCCTATTGGGACTCCTAGTGAGACGATTGCTCCTGTGGTGGATGATGGTAGGGGTTATGATAATGGTCCTATGTAGATTGGTTATCACTCTGAGCTTTTTGAAAAATCAAAGGTGGAGATGACCACACAGGCAGTGGGGGGGTCTGTGGGGGAGGATGGGTCTGTATTGGAGGATGCTCGTGATTTTGGTCAGTTAGTGAAAGATATGGGTTTGGATAATATACCTTTGCGTCTGATTTTAGAGGAGATCAAAGAGCGACGTAATACTCGTTTCGCAATACAGAGGGATATGGTGAGTGGGAAGCTTCCCGAGAATTTTTGGGACCTAGACGTTAATGTTGATGTTGTTACCAAGACCCCGACTAAAGGTTTTGTTGCTGATAAAAGAAGAAGGGTGATGTGAGAGAAGTTCGGTCTTCTGCAAGACTTTTTGCCGGTACAAATTCTAGAGGTGATGCATCTGATGCTGTTGCATTTGTTGCGCTGCTTGAGGCGCATAAGTCCTTTACATCTTCCTCGGATGAAGACGTTTATTTGAAGGAGGCGATGGCTCTTGAGGAGGCGTATTTGGGCTGTGGTCCTGCAGGACCAGGTTCTTTCTCTAACTCTCTTTATGGTTTTTAATGAATATCTTATCATGGAATATTAGGGGTCTTGGCCATCCTAATAGAAAGAGGGATGTGCTTGTTACTAACTTTAGACCTGTTGTTTTGCTTCTGCAAGAAACGAAGCTCCCGAGTCTTAAGATGTTGCTTTTTGTGGGGTAGATGTTTATGGTGCATCAGGTGGCTTATGGGTCCTCTGGGATCCTTTGGTTTTGGTGAAGTTTAATGTTGTTATCAATGATTTCTTCTTATTAGTGGGCTTTCATGGTCCTAAAGTTGGTTTTTCTTGGGGTCTGTTGAATTTATATGGGCCCTCTGTACCCGCTCTTAAAGAAGTTTTTCTTAGTGAGCTCTCTACTGTTCTTCATCTTTTTCTATTCCCATGGTTGTTGGGGGGGAACTTTAACTTTATTTGGTGGCCAAATGAGTGTTTGGCATGTACTCCTATTAATGCTTCTATGCACATGTTTAATCATTTTATTGAGATCAATTCCTTGCTGGACCTCCTTATTATTAGATCAAAATTCACCTGGTCCAATAATAGTATTTCAAATTTAGCTATGTCAAAACTTGACAGATTTTTGACATCGACGAATTGGATAGAGGAGTTCCCTCTTACATCTGTGAAAGCTTTACCCAAAATTTCTTCGAATCACTATCCCATTATGCTCAATACAGGACTGTTAAATGGAGGCCCAAGACCTTTTCGACTGGAAGTTGGGTGGCTAGAAGAGAAGGATGTGATTGAGTTGATAAAGGGTATGGGTTAACACTGTTGTCGAGGGCACATTAGACTTTCAATTACACATAAAGCTTTTAAGTATTAAACATAAGTTGATTACTTGGAAGAAAGAGAATAATTTTGATATCAAAGCTAAAATTGATGGTGCCCTTGATGATATAGAAAGGTTCGATCTAAAGATCCAATCGAATGGTGTGTTCTTCGAGCAAGCTGTGTTGGATCGTTGTTTGAAAATTAAGGACCTTGAGGAATTTTGCAGATTGGAAGAAGTCTATTGGAGACAGCAATCTAGAACTAAATGGTTAAAGAAATGTGACCTTAATACAAAATACTTTCATGCTATTGTCAGTACAAGAAGAAGGCAAAATGACTTTTCTGGTCTGTCAATTTCTGGAGTTGACTCTGAAGATGAGAATACGATTGAAGATGCAGTCATTAATCATTTTAAAAGGGCTTTCACTTCTAAAGTGAAACTATTGCCTTCTTTTAGCAGAGTTTCCTTTAAAGTATTGTCTGCTGAGATGAAAAGTGTATTGGAGAGGGACGTTTCTATGGAGGAATTACGTCAGGCTGTGTTCGCTTTGCCTGGAGATAAAGCACCGGGTCCTGACGATTTCCCCTTAGTATTTTTTCATAGATTTTAGGATTTGGTGAAGGATGAATTGTTGGATTTTGTTTGAAGCTTCCTTATTAGAGGAGATATGTTCAAATGGGTGAACTCTACTTTTATGGCCCTTATCCCCAAGAGATATTTGATATCGGATTTATCTGATATAAGACCAATCAGTCTACTTACTAGCCTCTATAAAATTGTTGCGAAGGTCTTGGCTAAGAGGTTGAAAACTGTTTTGACATTTTTTGTCTCTAATACTCAGTCAGCATTTGTCAAGGATCATCAAATTACTGACAATGTTCTTTTAGCTCAAGAATGTATTAATTCTAGAGTTTTGAGTAATATGACAGGTGTTGTTATCAAATTAGACACGGAAAAAGCTTATGATCAAGTTAAATGGGGTATTTTATTAGGAATCTTGAAGGCCATGGGTTTTGGTGATCGATGGAGAAGCTGTATTTTTTATTGTTTATCCTCTGCTTATTTTTCGGTAATTTTTAAAGGCAGCCCTGTTGGTTTCTTCAAAGCCTCTCGAGGTCTTCGTCAAGGGGATTCTCTCTCTCCCTTTCTATTTACGATTTATACTGAGTGTTTTAGCTCAATGTTGAGCAGGGTGGAAAGGTTGGGTCATTTTTCAGGGTT